TTTTGGGGGTCATTCCCTCATTCCCTGAGCACGTTTCCCTGAAGGAGCCCTTTAACTTCACTAGGTCCTCCAGTGCCCTTCTCTCCCCTTTGGTTGGGAGGCTTCCCCTGGACTGCAAAAACAATCGGGTACCCTTCTTCTAAAATCTCTGCAGGAGGACCTAGTCAAAGTTTTTAGGTTTTTAGGTTTTTAGGTTTTTAGGTTTTTAGTTGGGTTTAGTGGGGGAGTTTCCATTTCACCCACGAAAAGGAAGTCTAACCCACTAGTAAGGTGTGGCTTCCTTTTCGTTGACCACCAAAGGACCTGGCTCGATCTCACTCGGCGGATGTGGCGAGCAGCGAGCGGTTCTGAGGCGTCTGCGAGCTGCCGGCGAAGCAGCGGCCGCAGCCCTGGAGGAGTCAAAGAGGGCCTTGCCCCGAGTCCAAGGGCCCCTACCCGGACCCAAACCAAAGTCCTTCTCTGAAACTAGGTCCCCCAGTGCCCTTTTACAGAGATAAAGGGTAATGTTCACCATGGATTAAGCAGAACCCCTGGTTGATTAATAGGGGGGTGTCCCCTTTTAGTGGGGTTTTATCACTTTGGGAGGGAACACCCCCCTAATAATGGGACGGGTTTATGAAAATCCTGGGTCAACATTACCCTTATTCTAACGACTCTCTTCCGGAGGACCTGGGAAGAAATGGATCGTTGCCCCAAAACCTCTGGTTGGTGAGTTCCCTTTTTCATGGGTGGAGTGTGCAGGTACTTTGACCCCCAGAAACGTCCAACAAACCATCCTGGAAGGAGAAGTGGATCTGTTGCATACATTTTTTTTTGTTCTTTGGTTTTTCGGGGCGGGGGGGGGGGGAATTTCCGGACACTGAGCCTGCAGCGATTTGTGCATGTGTATATAAAGAATACATATATGCATGTGCAAACACTGGACTGATTGTTTGGTTCTAGTTTGAACAGACGTTGTGAAACACCCACCCTGGTCTTGACAGCCGACACGCCTTCATGGGTCAGGGCGGGCAAGCGGCAGATTTCGGAGGGGTCCCGAAGGAGGCACGCCCTCAGAAAATCCTGACACAGACTTGGAGCCTTTTGGGCGCATCAATTTGCCCTACCATCACAAAGTTGGAATCTTTTGGGCGCATCAATTCGCCCTGCCAGCACTCTTTGAGTCCGCGCGTGATTACTTTCGGTCGATTCCCTTGGCTCGATTGGGGTTTGCGATTCATCCCCTCGGTAGCAATGCCGGGTTCCGCTGAGACCCGACACTCCCATGGCCTCTCCCGGTTGGAAGTTGGCAGGTACAAGGATCGATCATTCGGATGGTACTTCCCTCTTTTCCTAGGTCCCCCAGCTAGGCGCCATTTATCACCAACTTTTTTTGGGGGAGGGTTCCCCTACTAAAATAGACTACAGGAAAAGAAACTCGGGTATCCTTATTCTAACCTGTCTACTGGAGGACCTGGTTTCTCCAATCCCAGCTGTTCTCCAATGTTTGATCGGAATGGTTGCGAATCCTCTCTGGGCTCTGCAAGGTTTCGCCTGAGCAGATACTTGTCACAGTGCGGTGCTCGGAGGGAGGATGAGTTGCGGTATGTCGCGGTATGTTCGGAGTAGGCCAGAGCTGAGAAAGTGCTGCGGAAGCACGTGTAAAATCAATGTGTGTACATCACATGCGTGATCTGTGGAACATGTGACAGATGTACATCCACGTAGGAGTGATTGTGCATGTATGTGTGCATCTCATCCCCATTATTTGAGGCTCGCATTCGTGCGAGATCATATCAGGCCGGGCATTAACACGCCCCGTTCAAGAACTGGGCTTTTCAGGTCCCCTTACCTGACTTCAAATCGTTTTATTGACCCCGAAAACCGGGGCCTTACAATGTAAGCTTGTGCCATCCAACAAATCTAGATTTCAACGCTGGATTACGTCAAAACGAGTTGAAGCCCTTTGGCAGGCTGGCACCACATATGAAACCAAACTGTTTCAAAGCGCTTCGCCTGAGGCGATCCAGCTTTGTTGAGCTGTTGTGTGCACAGCTGTTTATGCTATTTATGTTTGCAGGAAGGTTCTTCGTCCATGGCCGGACTTTTCTGAAGACGGTTCATTCTTTGGCTTGCGACGGCCATGACTGGTACAAAAGAGCCGGTCGCGAGTCACCCGAATTGGCTTCAACAAATTGAAGATGACTCCAACATCTGGGCGTACCCTTTTTGGGGTTTCTTTAAACTGATACTTCCAGGGAAACCACCATTTTCTGTGAGAGGCGTCCAATTTTTCAGCTTCCCTCCAACCGTTCAAACCCCCAACTCACCAGTCTGACTCGCCAATGAGGGGCTAGGTCGCCCAGTAGTGCCCTTTCTCACCCCTTTTTGGGGGTGGCTTCCCCTAAAATCGACTACAGAAAAAAATCGGGTACCCTTCTTCCAGCCTCTCTGCTGGAGGACCTAGTGAGTGAATTTTGGGATCAGATCCCCACGGTTTTCGCTCCCACTTTCCCATCTTTCGGAGGCGGAGCCTGCCAAGCTTGCCGGACGCGCGGCTCGGAGTGGCGGAATTGGGGACCCACAGCTCCAGGTCAGTCTGCCCTTTTTTTGTGGCGAGCTCGGGGTAAAACAAGCTCAGCAGAAGGATCCTGTTCGGGGATTCTTTATTTCAGGTTTTGGAAAGATTGTAAAGTCTGCAGATTCAGCTGGAAGTCCCCAGTTGAAATCGGAAAGCCGGTGCCAGAAAAGAGGTGTGCCAGTCCCTGTTGACACTCTCATATCGTTCTGTCGCTTTCCACGTGAGATTCATCAGCTTCGGTTAGGAGGCATGATCGATTCAAAGTGTTTTTTGTTTGATATGTCTTTGAGTTGGCAAACTTGTTGCTTGCAACGCGAGGGCCCCTCCGAAGATGTGAGGGGCGAAATCTAAGGTGAAAAGCATCTTGGGCCGGTTCTTGAAAAATGCATCTAGGCATGCGACTTTGTCCCATAGGCAGTTTTTACGCATGCAAAAGATACGGATACAGTCGTACAAGGGTGTATTGGTTTGTTTTCTTGCGAGGGTCCAAACCCCCCTGGCTTGCTTGAAAGGCAAACTCACTGGGAAACCAATCATTTTGGGTCCTTCGAAGAGGAACCAAGGAAACAACTCGGTTGAAAGGCGGCCCTTGTATCAAAACATGGGAACTCTCAACACATGTCCCTTACAAAAACAAAAACACCCAAACAGGGTACCTCAAAACGACGCACAAAATTAATATTGGTATGTGGACTTGCCTCAAACTTGCGGCGACCAACACTTGACTGCTATTGAGTTGGATCTTTAGACTTTAACTTTTTGGTTGGAATCAAGGGGTTTTCCACTCACCCCCAAACAAGTTTTCAACTTGTTGCAGGGTCTTGCCAGCAACCAAGCAACATGGTCCATGTTTTTGCCAAATCGGGGCATCAGGATTCAAGATTGGAAAAGCTTGGCCTCTTGAATCGTGAATCTGGGCCTAGATTTATAAAAGATTCAAGGAGTTGTAAATTAAAATTAGGATTCAAGGATTTAGAAATTAGGATTCAAGGAGTTGTAAATCAAAATTAAACTCTGGGCCTAGAAATTTCAACCTGGGCCTGGGTTGACACCGCCTCTTCGACCGCTCCAATCCCCCCGAGGCTGCGCTGCGCCGCGGACCACGGGCACACGGCGGTGCTGGAGCTACTGCTCCATGCGCGTCAGGGGCGCCCAAGCCGCGAAGCTCTCCGGGTGATTTTTTTTGGTCGGGGGAAGACGGCCCCTTCTTGTCTTAAATTGGATCTTGTTTGGTGGGCTTTAGAGGGAAACCAACTGGACAACCACCATGCAAATAAAAAGGAAACAGGCCCATATGAGACATGGCCAAAATGTCCAGTTTACGGTCCATTTGGGAGGAACATGGGGGAAGTCAAGTATTTGTGACTGGCTATGGCAACAATTTCAATAAAAAAGGAATCCGCACAGGTCTAGGTCCCCAGTAGTGCCCTTTTTGGTTGGGAGGGTTCCCCTAAACGGATCACCTAAGTAATGAGCTAATCTTGGCATGGTTGTCGTTGGGAAACATTTTACATGTTTGCTTACTGTGGTTGAGTGTTGAAATCCAAATCCACTTAACTGCTAAAATTTGAGAATCTTTGCTCCTCTTCCAAGTTCAACCAAGGTTTGCCCCTTCTTGCGGGGATTGGTCACTTTTGGAGGGACCCCCCTAGCAATAAAACGGGTTTTTACTAATCCGGGTCAACATTAAAGAGCACCAGCAGCACAGAGAGAGAGAGAGAGAATGAGAACAACTTCAAAACAGCAAGTTGGTGGGAAAAAGCCAGCACACCCCGTTCAATTGGGGCATGCCAATTGCCTCATTGTCACCGTCGTTTGGCCAGCATACGTGGTGCATTTGGTGTGTGTTTTGGCAATCGATTGGAGCTATCGATCGATGGCTTCCCCATCTCGCAGAAGGTCACCGAAGCTGAGAAAAAAGCGCATAGGGTTCGGCAACCCCCTGTCCAGGTTTCATGGCTAGGCCCCCCAGCTAGGTGCCCTTTCTCACCCGTTTTTTTGGGGGGGGGTTCCCCTACTAAAATAGACTACCGAAAAACAAAGGGTACCCTTATTCTAACCTCTCTGCTGGAGGACCTATGAGATCACATCAGCCTTCACAAGGTGTCACAATGATACTTCGGTCCTGAAGCACCAGAAACAGTCACTTTGAACCCAGCTGGTCTCGTTGAGGCCGTGACCTAGCCCTGGCGCTCCCCTAAAATCAGTCCAAGGTTCAAGATGAGATGTCGCGGCAATGTGGCTCGAAGAGTATATTTCCTAAAACGATGTCACGATAACTACAATCGTCACTCACATGCTTTTCAGATACGGATTTATTGCAAAGTGAGCCGGTCCCAAACACGCACGGTGTCAATCGAGCTTTACACCAGAGAACACGTCTTCCTTTGATTTCCAAGCCGAGCGTTTCGTGGAACGAGTCCGCTTAGATTTTGTGGCCATGGCGTCCGCGATGCAGAAATGCATGTACGTCCTGGCGCTTCTGGTGTGTGGCTCTTTGAACACGCTCACCATGAAGACTCTTGGCGTGCAAGCAATTGGCGGGCCGGGGGGGGAGGGGGGAATTTTCAAGGAGCTTTGGGTTTGCTGCTCGACTTGGGACATGGAAAATCGGGTGGTGAGTTGGGATGTCCGAAGCCGGATTTGTGCGACGCAGCAGATTTGCGTCGCCGCTTTTACCAGGGAGTCCTCCAGAAGCCCGATTGCGCGGTGCCGGTTTGCCCCAAAAAGGCTTGGGGGTTTCCATCAAAGAAGCAAACATACCCAGCGCCCAGCCTTTGCCGGGCATGGGCTTTGCTTTTCAGCTGATGGTAGCTGCCTGCCGATGCTCCTTTAGATCCAGCGAGGGAAGCTTAGGCAAGCTTGGGACTTTGAAGCGCAGGTCAGCTGAGGAGTTCTGCTTTTTCTTGGGTACCTTAGGTTCAGGAAGCTGGGGGGTTCGTTTGCCCCCAATTCCCCAAAGGCGCAATACTGCCTCAGGCAGAAAGACCCACGCAGATCAGATCGTTTAAGTCCTCTTCTTGGTCCTTGATTTGTAAATCGGCTGTTTGTGAAAGGGGCCAGTCCTTTCCTTTCCAACTAGGTCCCCCAGCTAGTCCTTTCTCACCTTTTTTTGGGGGAAGGTTCCCTGACTAAAATAGACTACATAAAAAAGGTTGGTATACCCTTATTCTAACCTCTCTACTGGAGGACCTAGTCAAGGAACCCCCCTGTTTGCCGCGTATTTCACGCAGCCCCGTAGGTTCGGTTCCACCGCTTTCGCGCCGCAGGATCGCTTTCACTATGTCTGGCACGGTGGATGGCCAGTCCGAGCGCTTTGAGAAGCCCTGGTTCATCACCTTCGTCATGCTGCTCGGAAAAGGTTCCGGCGGAATGGGACAAATCGAACTCGGTGCCCAGTTGCCCAGTGAGTGACATCTTTTTACTCAACCAAACAGAAAAGGATGCACTGGCATCTGACGATTTGAGGCAGCTCTTTGAAAGGCCCAAAATGCCACCAGGGATATCATGTTGCTCAATCCTGCAGGTACTTGGACATTTCGTAAGGAAAGTCGGTGACAGACGCCTTGGCGCGGAAGTTGCGGCTTTTCAATCAGGTTGTGTTTCGACATATGTGTGTGCGGTTGTGCGGAGCTTGCACAAGCGTTCAAGGCTGATGTGGCTGTGGTGATTGTGGCTGTCGGTGGTGTGTTGACAGTTCTGGCTGTGGGTTTGTTATCACCTGGCTGTGATGGGCGTAACTGTTGCGCACTGGGCTCCGGTCGCCAATTTGCACGTGTCACTGAAAACAAGGGAGCAACACGAAGCCCACAATTCACCCTCCCAACGCACTGAAGCTGACAGGCTCTTGGACCGTCCTGTGCGGTCCCAGCAAAAAATCCTCTGGATGTTTGGCAAGGCCTCACATGTCGCCTTAACATGGCTCAGGGACCTCCAAGATCAGCTTCTTGCGGGCTCCCCATGGCGTTCCCACCACGAAAAGTGTCTTGGTGGCTCCCAGCCATCCGGTTCAACTTAGCTTTTTATCCGAAGCTTTTAGTGTTTAGTGGTAGTTTCCATTAGCGGGGGATCCGAAAACGGGCAGCCCAGTGTGTGGTGACCGACTCGGGAGGTCAACAGATTGCCACTGGCCCTCAGGTTCATCGCCATGTGCTTCGCCCTGCCCTTCGACCGCGGCAGCTTGAAAACCGTCTCTGCTTGTTTCAGTATGGCTGTGGGTCAAAACCAATGGGATCCCATTTTGGGGTAGGTGCACCACCCATTTTAGAACCTATTTTCTTGGGGATTGGGATGTTCACTGGGGGAGAACGAAATTTCGACCCATGGCCATATGGGTCTATCTTTTGGAGGGTATACCCCTTGTTTGGTGGGTTTTAGAGGGAAACCAACAGGACAACCACCATGTAAATAAGGAAACAGGCCCATATGAGGCATGGCCGAAATGTCCACGGTCCATTTGGGAGGCAAAACCAGGCTTTGCCACCCAGAGCTCCGCCCAGAGCTCCGCGCACAGGAAGCCCGCGTTAAGATTCCTAAACAAATCCTACGACGAGGAGCTTCCCACCCCAAAAAAACCCACCCCAAATCCAAGTCAAGCAGGGGTCTCTTGATCCGCCGACATCGGAATAAAAGCTTTAAAGAGGAACTTTTGGTCTGGTGGTTGATGTTTTGAAGCCGAACCCCCCCGCATGTGTTTCTAAGGGCTCTCAGAAATTGAAGGGCTTCAGTGCAGAAATCTTTGGTTCCTAAAAATGGAGTCGACTTTCTGAGCCTTTTCAAATCTGCTGATGTTTTTTTATTGGCAATCGCGGACACTGTGCACATCAGCTAGGTCCTCCAGTAGATAGGTTAGAATAAGGGTACCAACTTTTTTCTGTAGTCTAGTTTAGTAGGGGAACCCTCACAACAAAAGAGGGTGAGAGAAGGGCACTACTGGGGGACCTAGTACCTGTGCGGATTCCGATTGAAATCGTTGCCACAGCCGGTCAAAAAATATTGACCTCTGCCATGTGGTCTGCCCTTCGGATTGTTTACAAGGAAACCCCACGTGTTGTGTTGTGGCTTGGTCGTGTCACCTAGAGGCCTTTGTGGAAGTGAACAATTGTAACCTCAGAGAAATGGGCTTGAGTGTTAGCTGCCAGCCCTTTGGTGGACATCTGTGGTTTGATGTCCACCCACCGTTCTTGAGAGGTTCCCTATTGAATGTCATAGCCAAAGGGGCCCCTTTTGAAGCTGGAACCACACAGCTTTGAACTCTGCACGCCTCTCTTTGCCGTTTTTCTAGGGGTTGATTCTCCATTCTTTCCAAGCATCGTTCTTTTCAAACACCAACTATTTTCCCCCCTGGAAAGAATGGGGAAGGCACCCCTAGAGTTTTGAGGCCGGCTCGCAAGCCATCTCCATGCTTTTGTGGTCAGGAACTGTGAACTTCAGAAGCTTCGTTGCCCACCTAGGTCCCCCAAGGTAGGTGCCCTTTCTCACCAACTTTTTTTTTGGTTGGGAGTGTTCCCCTAAATTTACTACCCAAAAAAAGTGGGTAGCCTTATTCGAATCTCTCTACTGGGAACCTAGCCCCACACAGGTGAACAAACTGAGCTTGAGATCAATCTGCTTCTTGGAAGGCCCCAGGCAAGTTTCAGCAGCTATGTTTCTATATCCTAATCGGCACGTGTTTAGCTTGGCTTGGAAAGTGAGTTCTGTTCATATGACTGACACTTGCTGGCGAGCACGCATGCCTGTGCTATACCGAGTTCTGTGGGGGCCGACAACAACACCAACACCACCACAACAACAATCGACCGACCGACCAACCAAGCAAGCAAGCAACCAAGCAAGCAACCAACCAACCAACCAACCAACCAATCAACCAACCAACCAACCAGCCAACCAAGCAACCCAGCAACCCAGCAACCAAGCAAGCAAGCAACCAATCAACCAACCAACCAACCAGCCAGCCAACCAACCAGCCAACCAACCAACCAACCAACCAGCCAACCAACCAACCAACCAACCAGCCAACCAACCAACCAACCAACGCAGCAACCAACCAACCAACCAGCCAGCCAGCCAGCCAACCAACCAACCAACCAACCCACCAACCAACCAACCAACCAACCAACCAAGCAAGCAACCAACCAACCAACCAAGCAAGCAAGCAACCAACCAACCAGCCAGCCAGCCAACCAACCAACCCAGCCAACCAACCAACCCAACCAGCCAGCCAGCCAGCCAACCAACCAACCAACCCAGCAACCAAGCAACCAACCAACCAACCTCAACCTCAACCACAACAACAACGACGACGACGAAGACAACATCCACCAGCAGCTGCGAGATGGCTTCTGGCAGTGGGTTCTCAAATTCACCACATTCGTGTGGGTGTGGGTCAAAATCACCACCAGGATATGGTCCGCAGATTTGAGTCCTTGGCTCCATTTGCCAGGCTTCTATTTTGGGTGCCCATTTTTGACCCACAGCCATTTGGTCGACCCTGATTCCAGGCAGTAAACAACAGAGTCCCCAGGGAGGCGCGCTCGGAGCTCGCAATGCCTGAGGCATGTGGGGAAAAGTAGGGTCCTCTGCAGAAAAGCCGCTGATCGACGCCAGGCACTCAGCATGTGATCATTGCATAGCTTGCTACGCCAGCCACCGACTGTTTGTGTCCCAAGCAGTGTGCTCTAAGAATCAGCCACAAGCGCCTACAGACATCATTTCAGTAGCAGCCAGATTGCAGTACCTTGTCGTTAGTCCTTGTCAGGTATCACTTTGTTTAATTGCAAGGCTACACTCTATTCAGCCGACAGTTTATATACCATGACAATTGGCAGATGGGGCAATCATGCTTACACCTTGCATTTCCTTGGGATATTCCAATGGCCACGGAACGTCGCAGTACGCGGGGGCAGCCACCGAGCGTGTGCAGAGGCAGTCAAGGTCAGTATCAAGATGTAGCAGTTTGTCAAGCGCACAAAAACCATGGAATACGTGTCATTCGGATGTTGCGCCTCTGCATCCTGATGTTTTACTGGTTCCACCCAATGGATATTGACAAGTTCTGGCGAGCTCACTTGGGGGCCAACACCTGTCTCATAGAAACCCACCGTGCGAAAGACGAAGGACGCTCGCAAGAGCCCGGGTTTCCGCAGCCCATGCGAGCGCAAGGGAGCAGTTTTTGCTTGATCGACTTTGGCTCCATGGAACCCGCTCGACGGAAAGGAGAACGAAGCTGAGAAAGGCCCCTTGTGGATTTCTTAGGGCTGGTGGAGAGCATTTGGTGGGATGGCCAACAGCCGCGGTTAGGCCTCCAGCCATTCTTCGCTTACGTGGCGAAAGAAGGCCGGGAGACCGCTGTGGGCCGTCCATGGCTTTGGTTGCCTGAGGAATATCCAGGTGCATGACTTTCGTTCGGGCAGGGTGATCAAAGCGTATCAGAGTGTCATCGATGGTTCCTCTTGATCCTAGCACTGAAGTTGTTTTTTTGGAGATTGGTCAATTCGGGCTCAGCCAAGTGAACGACGTACACATTAAGCTGGATCATATGTAATTATATACATATATATATATATGTATATGCACGTATATACATGTGTGGTGTGTTCAGCAAAGGTGATGTTTTAGTCCGCCAAACGTGGATACCCCTTTGATCAAAGTGAACCATGAAGTCATGGATTGGTCCGAGGTTCCACTGGAGTGTGGAGAGCGAACCGCAAGTGCAGGAGCCAAAAGCCTCTTCTGAGACTTTATGTCATTCTCATTTACCTCGCCACCTCTCACCCGCTTTCTTCAGTGATTCATCTAAACATCCATGAAGGCAAGTCTGTTGGGGTCCTTGCTCAAGGACGAATGCCGACCTGTCAGCCAGTTGCTTGCATGTTTGAACTGCGGCAATGAATGCTTCTGTTTGACTCCGTTGTGGCTGTTGGCTTGATGGTGTTTGACAGGTTGGGTGTGCTTGTTTGCAGAACCCAGCACATCGCCAGCTTCCGCAACCGGCGAATTGCATGCTTTTCCAGGTGGTCAAAGTGATGTACCCTGCCTTCTTCGACATTTTGGCCACAGGACTTTGCAGCAACTCGGACGGAACGAAGAATCAATTCCATGGCATTGTGCTTTTTGACTAGGTCCCCACCACGCTTTTCAAAACGCACGCAGCGATGCAGGAGATCATGACAGGCCAAGGAAAGAAGTGGATCCATGTGAGTCTAGGTCTCCCAGTAGTGCCCTTTCTCACCCCTTTTTTAGGGGAGAATTCCCCTACTAAAATAGACTACAGACAAAAAGTTGCTACCCTTATTCGAACCTCTCTACTGGAAGACCTAGGAGTCTTCCTTAGGAGAAGGTTTCCTGCGGCTCGTTGAAGGCCTCGTTTGGTTTTTCTCACTGAGGCATGGGCTTTTTGTACATCCCCGCTAGCGTTTGGCAGCTCGGCTGCATCTGCCCGCGAAAGAAGCCCTGGCGCCTGTTCGAAGGAACTAGTTGCGAGGCAGGGGGCAGGGGGGCCATGTCCTATTGAAGCTGCCATGCTTCACTATTGGGAGGAACGGCCCCAATTAATATGCAGCATTTAAGGGACCGCCATATATGTGTCACTGACCAATCAAGCTGAGGAGAAACATGGATGTACATTTGTTCAAGCCACACCAATCCAGGGCCGCCTTTTGTTGGTTTACCACGTGTTTTGTGCTGCTCATTGATTTGTTCTGCACTTGGTGCATTCTTGGTGGAACGGCGGCTGCCACGTTTGAGGGTGTTCCCCAAAAACCCATGGCCACGTCTTTGTCAGATCAGATCTCCTCCTGGTCAATCCTTGGAAACCCCTCCGCATCCCTCCGCTTTGCAATTTCAACGAGAAGAGCCCATGGGGTCCTCCCCCCCCCGCCATTTTCAGACAGACCCAATATATCAGGAGCTCACGGGAAGGTTCTTTCATCCGAACTTGGATCCCTGACTGTGAGCTTTTGTACGAAACAGTGATGCGTCTGTTGCCCCCAAAAAATAACAATTCAGCTTAGACCTTTCATGTCATCTCGAGCTGCAGCTGATATGGGTACGTGTCAAAGAGGTGGTGAGTTGGTCTCCAAATAGGGACCCCCCCGCCCAATTTATATATATATATACATATATATATATATATATATATATGGTTTTTTCATTGCTTCTCTTTAACCAACCGCTGCAAGGGCACCTTTGAAAGAACCCCCCAATGTCAGTCCTGGTTTCAGTTGGGGCCCATGTTGAAGCGCTTGGTTCAATGTGTTTTGTTCTGCCATGCCTCTGCTAGCGCCACTGGTTCAAGTGTCTTAGCACCTCTCACGCCTTGGCTTTGTCTGGTTTCAGGTGCTCAACTTTGAAGGAGAAACGTTTGGACGGATTTGTTTGAGGGAAACCGATGGAATCACCAGTTCGAGCTCTACCGAGTGGCAACGGAATGGAAAGGATCCCGAATATACACTCACAATGGTCAAAACGAAGGGGACCCCGGATTTGAGCACCGTTGTTTCAATCGAAGCCAACAGATTTTTTGTCCATCGAGGCACTCTCCAAGCGCTGCTTTGTGCCATGTCCACCCCAAGTTCTTGGGGATGCTGTGTGTCGATTCCTCACGCCACTAGCAAGTAGCAAGTAGCCACAAATGGTTTGTCGTTCTAAGGGTGGAACACACTCGGGTTTCATCCGTTTCAACTGGTACGAATGGATGTTGTATCAATCCACTACAGGTCGGAAGTTTCAATCACAACCACAAGGAAACCCACATTTCTTCTTCGGGGGAACACTTCTTTTTTCTCGGGTGTGGGGGGACCACACTTCTTTTTTTAGGGAACCTTTTTTTCCGGGGGTTGGGGGCGGGGGGGGGGGGAGGTCCAGGCTTTAAAGAAAGACACCCCCACCCGAAAAAAGAAAAGAACAATAAACATCTGGCTGCGGGTCAAAACCGTTTTGGGATCCCATTTTGGGGGATTGGTGAATTCACCACCCATCTTAGAACCCATTTTAGTGGTTGGATGGGGATGTTCACTGGGGGTACGGGCTTGGGATTTTGACCCATGGCCATTTGAGGCAGCTCCTACGTGGCGCGGAGATCGTCTTCGCTGGGAAGCCCGGAGTCCGATGGAAATGAAGAAAACACATATGCAATAGCATGTTTTTTTGAGCAGTCACTTGTACATATATATATATATATATATACATATTATATAGTATATATATAATCATGTACCTATATATAAGCATATATATATATATACACACTCAAGATGACTCAAGAGTGTGCTTTGTGACAAGCAGTGACTTATTGTGAAGCAACAACACAAAACATATATCAACCTCTTGAATCAATTACGACATGTCATCCTGAAGGCCACGCTGGGGCCTTCCTGTCATGTGCGCTGTTTCTTTGTAGCAACTAGTGCGCTGCGCAGCTTGCCGTTTCAGGATGCAAGAGATTTGTCAAATCTGGAAACACTGGGACACCGTCAATCGAGGCATTGTCCGCTGACCGCAAAACGGATACAATTCTCAGGCTAAGTGCCATGTAAGATGGCCGGAGTCAAATAATAAGTGCCTGACTCCTGACTTGTTGTTTCTTGGGAGAACACCCCCCAAAAAAAACTCATGCTTCAGTTTTCCTTTTGGTTCCCCTTTTGACCACCAAGCACCAGGGGGTTCCGTCAAATGTGCGCAGATTTGGTGCCGCAGCTCAGGCGGCGATCTTCGCGGTGTGCTGCCTGAAGCGACGGCTCTTCAAGTTCCACGCGCTGTCCCTCTGCTTCTGTGTGGCCGGGATCGCCTGCGTGGGTCAGGGGCCAAAGGGGCGAGAGACGGTTTTTTTCTCGCGCGGTTTCGGTGGTTTCGTTCGAAAGGGATGCCGGGGTCCAGGTTGTTGTTTGCCTTTTTTTGCGACGATTGTCCTGTTGGTTTGGATTTAAGTACAAACCAAAAATGGGAGATTTCGGCATTGTGAGAAACATCCATGTGTATTGCCAGTGTTTTCCCGCTCTCCAAGCAAATGGAACTTCAAATAGGACCCTCCAAACGCTTGGTGTCCTCTTGGTTTCCCAATCCAACGGTTCCAACCCCGAACTGGTATCCTCAGCGAAAACAAGAAAACACATCCACCAAACCGAGTTTCTTCGAACGGAGGTGGCACGTGCTGTTTGGACTGGACATGGCCCTATGGCATGAGGTCTCGCCAGCGTGTGGGGCAGCGAGGCAGAGGCGGGAGCTCGCAGCCGGAAGCCTCTGAAATCGCAGGGAAGCTTCCCATAGGATGGGCTTAATGAGTCCAGGATGTCCAATGCTTGCAATGTCTGGCAATTCCATTTTGTTGGGAGGCACACGCTGCCATCCGCGTGTGCCTCCATGGGCCGAGTTGATTCATTGAATTTCTGAGTGCCCATCATGGTGTTCTGTTCGCAGGCCACGTCGACGTTTGTTTTCCGTTGAGACCCATTTGAGGGCTGACGTGTGGTAAGTCTTGAGGCCAATCATCTCTCCCTTCAGGCTGGACTGGCATATCAAGTGCCGCAGATCCGAAATTCGGGTTCCCCTTTGCTGCGGGTTACACCTTGGAGTCAATTGGAATGTGTATTCTTACCAGGCTACAAAGTGTCACCATCATTTTCCATGCGCTGCATGAAGGCTGGTGGTGGTTTGTCAAGGGCAATAGTTTTTTTTCTTGGGGACTTCCCCTGCCCTGATAGTTCCTGTAAAAAAGTAGCGATTACTGTTACTGAGCTGTACATGGGCTTTCTTTGGGTGTCCCTTCACAAACAACCCAAAGGGTTTTGCCCTCAAAAGACAACCCTCCATGAGATACGTCAGGGAAGATCAGTCTGCGGAAGACACGCACATGCGGTAAACTGATGGACAAACCAACTCATGTTGTGGTGTCTCTCTATATATATATATATGTATTACACACACAGAACATACATATATACATACACAAACACACTCGCTTATATGTTTTTATACATACGTACTTATGTATATAAATGTAGATATGTACACAGGGTGTGTAGGGTCTAGATGTTAGGGTCCCTTTGCGTGGGTCTGGAGGAATCGTTCGTCTCAGGCCGAAGCCAAAGGCAGTGAGAACAGCGCTGCGCTGCAGATGCTTGGCATCGGCGGATCCCTCGGATCCGATGGACGGTCTGGATGGTCAAGCGACTTCGTGGCTCTCAAAAACACGCTGTGGTTTTAGTTGAGCATGACTACCAACAGAACAAAGTCACACACACAAATCACATTTTCTGAAGCTCAACTCCATCATTTTTCGCCTACAACTAGGAACATGTGTGTTTACAGGGAACCCCCTCACCTCCCCGAAAAAAAGAGAAAGAAGCGCCTTTTTCTTGCCACCAAAACAAATGCCCCCAAAAAACAGACACCCTAATGCACAGGTGTATAACCAGGGCAATTACAATGGATCAAGGGTTGTCCTATAACCATGGCAACAACCTCTCATGAGGTTCTTCAGCCAGTTAGGAACAGTGGGAAAAATCGGGGGTTGACTAGTGACCGTAGTTGTATAGTTACTATTGCAAAGTAGGTCGAACATGCCTTGGCTCCCGAGCTGGTTGGTTTGGACCAGTTGCCTTTTGAAGGGGCCGGTAAACCTGGAGGAGAAAACCGTTCTTGGGAAGCCTCAGAAACATGGAAGTGCACAAACCTTGGACGGATTTTGCTTGGAGAGCGGCCTGTGTTACGTGTTTGTTGGTGGGGACAATACCTTTTGTGCCCATGTCCATCGCGGCAACATATGTCTTGACAGTTCCGTGGGGCTTAATTATGTCAAACCTAATATTTTCGAGTTGGGTTACTTTCTCCTTTTGCTTCGAATCAACGATGTTTATGGCTTTTGGGGAGGAGGGGGTCAATCCCTTTTTTTCCAGAACCAATCAACGAATAGGTTTATTCGGTTTTTTTTTGGGGTGGGAATCAACGGCAAAAAACACCATCCCCCCGCAAACAAGAAGGAGAGCTCTTTTTTTTGGCAAAGGAATTAACAGGAGGAATCAAACGAATAGTCTCTTCTTTTTTTTTGGGGGGGGGGGAGGACTTTTTATAGGCAAAGGGAATCAACGCTAGGAAGGGAATCAACGCTAGGCTGATGGCAGGGCTCCTTAAAAGATACATTTTGCCCATTTGAAACATGGCTTTTTCCAGTAAAATAAAGGGAAACCACCAATTACAAGGCAATGTTCAAGTGTATAATGTAAGGACCCCTGTTGACAAGATCAAGGTCCTTCTTTCCTCGTTAAAGTTTGCACTACAACCGATAGACGAAGTAACGATTTCGAATCTTTGCAGAACCAAGCAAGCCACGAGTTGTCCCCTTTGAAACCCAGCGAAGTAGCAACTGTAAGGGTCCAAATAGCTAGGCGTGTGATGTACTTGACAACCACAGCTATGCAAGAATGCAATGGTTTAAGCCCTGTTCCTTGTGAACTTGAAAAAAACCTTGCAACATCCCAAAGGGGAACCTCTGCATAATCGCTGAACAGATTGGAGAGAGCCTTCAGGGAAATCTTCAGACAACCCCTTTCGCCCAATAGATACCCCCTTATCAAAAAATATTCCACGGAGGGCAAACAATATTTATGAATATGGTACTCAGGGGGTCAGACGGGCTTTTTGCAGAAGCAAAGGTACTCTTCCCTACGCGGCCAAATGAGCCACAATCAAAACCCGGGTAGACGAAGGTTAGTAAGGGGCAGTCCCAGCCGGCAATAGTTGCGGCCGCCTTTCTATTTCTTTACATGGTTCTGGGTTCACCATTTTTGCACCAGGTTTTGTTTGTAACTGAAATGGCCATTTTTGGCAAGGGCGTAGTACCAGCCTTCCTAGGATCCCGTCTCGGTCTCGGTCCGAGGCTTGGCGCTGAGCGGGCAAGTGGTGCAAGCTGCCCAGGCCGTGGCGGAGGAGTGGCTCCTCAAGGCGCGGACTTGGAACCGATCGATCGCGCTTGAGCGTTTCTTGGTCGCAGGGGACCTTGGCAAAAAGCAGCGTTTTGTTTGTTTGTGTGTTTGTTTGTTTGTTTGTTTGTTTGTTTGTTTGTTTGGTTTGTTTTGCTTTGTTTGTTTGTTTGGTTTGGTTTGTTTTGTTTTGTTTGTTTGTTTGTTTGGTTTGTTTTGTTTTGTTTGTGTTTTGTTTGTTTGGTTTGTTGGGTTTGTTTGTTTGTTTGGTTTGTTTGTTTGTTTGTTTGGTTTGGTTTGGTTTGTTTTGTTTTGTTTGTTTGTTTGGTTTGTTTGGTTTGTTTGTTTGTTTGTTTGGTTTGTTTGGTTTGTTTTGTTTTGTGTTGTTTGTGTTTTGTGTTTTGTTTGTTTGTTTGTTTGTTTGTTTGTTTGGTTTGTTTTTTGGTTTGTTTGTTTGTTTGTTTGTTTGTTTGTTTGTTTGTTTGTTTGTTTGTTTTCTTGTTTGTTTTTTTGGTTTGTTTTGTTTGTTTTGTTTTGTTTGTTTGTTTGTTTGTTTTGTTTTGTTTTGTTTGTTTGTGTATTTGTTTGCTTTTTTTTGTTGTTTTTCGTTGTTGGTTGTTGTGTTTTCGTGTTTGTTTTCGCTCCGGCGCAGGACCTTGTTTTGTTAGTTTGTTTTTTGTGTTTTTTTCCGCAGGACGTTGGGAAGCCGTGTTTATTTTGTATGTTTTATGTGGATTTTTGTTGTTTTTGTGTGTTTGGGTTTTGTGTGTTTGAGTGCTTGGGGGGATTTGATTTGGTTTCGATTGCTTGTTGTCTCAAAGAGCTTATGGAGGAACAGCACGCTACATATTTTGCCCCCCGGAGGATCCTTTGAGCGAGGGATAGTTTGTCCCAAACAGAAAACATACTGGAAAATTCCCACGCTGAGGGGTCCCCCTCTCAAAAAATACTTTGAAATGGATGGCTATCACTCAGTCGGCCTGTAATGTAAGCGGTGTGAGCCAAACGCGCTAAAGTCTGTTTGCGATGTATGTACGTGTATGTGTATATGTATATATAGCAAGGGTACTTAGCACGTAGTTTATCCATTGACGCGTATGATGCTGGTGCTTCAAAATGAAGGCTCCTCTTGTCACTGCAATCGACTTTGAACAGTTGCATGAACTGGATCTTGCTCACTGCACGGGCAAAGGTCACTCATTTTGCCGCGCTCTGTGTGAAGGCCTGCCTCATGCTTGAAAGCAATTGCATTTTCTCTACAGAGGCACAGCAAATACTTGGAAACTTCCTCCGGCCAAAATTTCAGCCGCGGACTCAAAAAGGCGCCTTTTTGCGTCCTCCGGCGGAAATCGGGATCTCCCAAAAATCGTGCGGCGTTGTTGCTTTTCCGGCGGCGTTTGCCACAGGCGGCATTAAAGAGCATTGCCGCCACAACCTTCACTTTGACCCACGAGCATGCCCCAACAAGTCGTTGATTGTGCACGTTTGCAAACTGTTTGTTGTCTCATTATATTCAACATATGCAAGCAACAAAGCAGGCTGCAGCCTTTTGCAACTTGCAGCCGCTGCATTACCCGCGCATGCCTACCGCTAATCTGCTTCAATCAGGCCATGTCGCAGTCCGGGTGTATGAATTATGCCTGTTCGATGCGTGTGGCAAGTACGCGGCGTTCTTTGTCTCCACAGCTTCTCGCTTCAAAGGGGCTGGCTGCCTCAAAATGCAGCAGTTTTGGCCTGCATGCTCAATAGTCGGTTGTGTGTTTTGTCGGGGTTTCGCAGCGGGGCTGCGGCTGAACCACGCGGGATTGCCGCGGAAACACGCTGGATTGCGGCGGAATCACGCTGACCAGTGCACGACGTTCACAGAGCCTTTGATTGTCTTGCTCGATCTGCTTACCTACGGTTCATGCTGTTGTCAGCATCACTGTGCAAAGCACGTCTGGTTACAAATGTATTGCCGGTGGAGGTCATGAAGCATTTGGTTCATGTAGTTACGGGCATCGACAGTGCCAAACCTCGTGGATTGATGCACAAATGTGTGACTTGTTTTCTGGATGGGTGGAACCGTTGCTGCGTGCCCAGTGCCCATTTTCGTAGCTTTCTGCAGCGTTTATAAGCAAGTCGAAGCAGCAAGTTCCTTTGGTACACATGCCGGTTGGTTTTGTGGGACCGGGCTTGGTTCCGTTTATGCTGCAGCTTGGCCAGGCTGCACGGCTGTTTTTTGTGGCTGCCGGCGCCGCCGGCGAATTGGCGGAAATTCCCGCTGACCGCAAAACTGCTAAATGTTGGCCGGACGGAGGCTCCAGGCACTGAATCGTGTGACGCGAGATTCCTTGTCACAGAGTGCTGCAACCAACATGACAAATGTAAGCAGCCTCTGAGCTTTGGAATGTAGAAGGTCCCTTCTGGATACCAGGACAGCCCTTAACGAATGCGTCAACGCCTTGGTCATTTTTTGCCTAGGCATGTCGCAGCGCTGCTCCTGTTCATGTCGTCGTCTCATGATATATGATGTACGCCTTTAACTTTGAACGTTTGTTTCGGACGTGGAAAATCGTGGAACACATGCCGCTTTAGGCATGCGAGGCTTCTTGCTGTCAGCATTGTGCTCCTGTTGTCACGAACCTCTTGCAGGTTGCCCAAAACGTGTTTTCATTGCAGGCTGGACGGATTGCATTGCTGCAGAAAACGTCACCTGTCCCGGTAAGTTCTCCAAAGTCCGAAGCGGAACTTCACTGGGTGCTGTGTCATGCCTTTGTCCAACATGCCATCAAGAACCAGACGATACTTCAAAATAACTTCAAAACATATCACTACCTCGGAAAGCCCGATCAAACTTATATACCTTCTACGAGAAAGATACACATATAGAGAGAGAGAGAGAGATAGCATAAGGCGTAGTCATAGATTCATAATTCGGCACGGACATGCTCTTTCTGCAGATGTAGTACATAGTGTGTAAATACATACATGTTTACATATATATATATATACATAAACATACCGCTGTTGACATACACTCCGGGCACCCAATGTTTCGCGCAGGATGTGGATCTGCCCGGGCTGCAGGTGGTGGGCTTCGAGGGTGTGTGGGGCGCTCTGGCCATGCAGCTTGGCAGTTCACTTGTCCCGGGCGAATCGACCTTTTCACCTTGGGTTTTCCAGTTTTGGCCCAGAATTGTTCCCTTTCACGGCGAACACTTGAGCTGGTATTTTTGGGTTGGGCAGCGAATTTGTTCCCAACTAGCTTCCCACCAATTAACATCGAACCTGACAGGGGGTCCCTTTAAAAGGAACCTGCTCGAAACCAGGACCCTCCTGTCAGGTGTTCATGTTAATTTGTGGGAGAATAGTCATGACCCAAAAGGTTAAACTTAACCCTTTATTTCTGGGTCCACCCTATACTGATGAACTGGTTGTTTAATATCGGGTCAACATTTATGGTTTTGCAGGTCTTTTCATATGTAGTCATGGCAAAAGTTAACCTTTTATTTCTGGGTTGGGCAACTAAGTACATGCGAGTGGCGCTATACGGCGAGATTTTAGATCAGCGTGTCGCCCTTCAGAGTAGTTGCTGTGTTCCAGCACCTGCTAAATGTTGCAGGTTTTTGTTTCATCGGCGAAGGGTACACTCAAACTAGCTCTTGTAGCTGGCTTGCCGGCCTTATTTGGGCAAAGGTGGCAAAGTTCTAATCGAAAAGCCTCGGGTGGAGACGTTGGCGTGTGAACCCTGATCTTTTCCCTCACTGAGGACCCCTTGCGATTGGCATGCTCTTGGGCCGCGAAAGCTCTGGATGACGTGTGAAGGGTTGATTCCGTTCTCTTCAATCGTTCTCTGCAGTTTGTGGATTGTGAACAGAACGGGATACCAGGAAGTTGAGTCAACAGGTGCCACCAAGTTCTCCGCATGGGGGCACGTGGGGTCTGAGTCTGAGACAGTTTCGTGCTGGCTGGGGCACTCAACATGTCATGCGGAAATCAACGCTAGGATTGGTCGCTCTTTGGAGGACATGGCTTGCAGTGAGCTTTATGTCCACCAACCAGGTTTGAGGATGCTTCAATCAAACATTAAGTCTATGAGCCAGCTGAGATTATTGTTTGCTGGTTTGGTTGACATCGTGCAGGTTGGAGGGCAACCCTTGGCACTGGGCCCATTAGCATCCACTGGGCCAGTGCTGCGCGGCTCGTGTGACTCAGGTAGGCGAGTTTTTTCGTTTTTTGTTTTTTCTTTTCCGTAGAACACCAAGAAAGTGCACCTCTGGTCCATGCCACGATTCATTTTTTCCCATTCAGGGTCGGCCACCAAAGTGAAAGGCATGGAAAAATGCTCGTCGCGCAGTGTCTTTGTTTTCTCCCTTTTCGGAGAGCTAGAATTGAGCGACGTTCTAAATCCCCTGCACTTGAAACTGGGTTTAGAACACTGCTCAATTGGCGAAGGTCCACTGGCTGCGTTTCCGGTCGCTGAGGATGGTCGTCGTGCTGCCAATGGTTCAGATGCTGCCAGGGCACGAGCCTCAGCGTCTCGGGCCGCGGAGGTGAGATCCGAACGGTTTCACCGGTCGTCACCGCGGTTCCCTAATTTCCCCAGCTCCAACGCCCTTCTAACTTCTCTCCCTTTTTTTGGTTGGGAGGATTCCCCAACCAAAAAAACAAAGACTATAGAACAAATCGGGTACCCTTATTCTATCCTTTGTACTGGAGGATCTACAGTAGTTCCTTTTTGGGAATTACTTTCTGCACAACCTGTGAAGCTTCAGGAGTGATGATGGTCACCTGGAGGATGAGTACAACGCGGTGCAGTTGCTGAGGAGAGAGCCTTTGTTTTTTTGCCAGAGCACGTCACTAGTATCGATTTGTGTTTCGTGAGAGTGAGAGAGAGAGAGCGAGAGAGAGAGAGAGAGAGAGAGAGAGGGAGGGGGGTGGTTTCCCTGTGGTTTCCCATGGTACACACTGTCTGAAGATATCTGAAGATAGGCGTTGCGGACCCCTCAACCCACGAATTTGGCATAAGGTTTGACCTGTACCCTTTTTTTGTCCACCCCCTCCCCCAATCCTCCCAGAGGTTCCCATCCGAAGGCCCATTGCCATCCGAAGCAGGAGCAGCTCGTCGCTCTCAGGGCTCATGCTGCTCTATACCTTCTCTTGCGCCTGATGCCCAGCACCGAAGTGGAATAGGGAGGTGGGTGTGTTTCACAGGCTAGTTCCCCCAGCTAGGTGCCCTTTGACCATCTTTTTGGGGGGCAGGGTTCCCCTACTAAAATAGACCAGAGAAAAAAGGCTACCCTGATGTGGGTTTGTTTCAAAGGGGTTGGTTTTCCTTTTTGGTTTCCGCTTTAAACCAACCCAAGAAGACGTTAAAAGCAATCCAAGTCAATATCACAGAGGAACGGGTAATTATTTAGACGACTATATTGACGGAGGGTAGTGGGGGAGATGTTCCATTAAATAGATGCGGGCTGCGTGTCGTGGTCGTAGCTCTTTAAATGCGTTCTTTGAGGCTAGTCTTCGAAAGTTCTCCTTTTGAGCCGTAACGGTTTCAAAGTCAGAGGGGAAACTACCCAAAGAGCAGACCATTTTCCTAAACGTGGGCTGCTGGGCCCTTTGCACGAAAGCCGCCCAAAGTTAAGGGCTCTACCTTCATTGTCAAAGTCAATGGCTTGTGAAGGGGGTGTGCACCCACAGAAATTGACCCACCAGAGGCATGTCTTCCTCATCACATGGTTGTTGTTGGGAAACATTTTACATTTTGCTTATTGTGGTTTAGTGGGAAATCCCCACTTAACTGCTTGAGTTGATTTTGTTGCTCCCCTTCCAACGTCAACCAAGATCAATTCTGGCTACGTCTGACAAAGGATGGTTGAATACCAATGCAACACAGCTTTTGCCTTCGGAGTCACCCTTGGCCGCTTGAGAGTCAAGACTGTCCGACATGTATGGCTTAGAGGTCGACAGTTCGGCTCCCATGAGAAATGTGGTTGGCAAAGTAGTCACGTGCATGTCATTAGATTGTAAGCGATTGCTAAACGCTTATTGCAGTTGTGGTTTCGTCAGGGTGAGCCACGGACTTCGCTGTTTCCATAGCTCAGGGGCCAATCTAGATCGATACTTAGTTTCTTTCTCGTTTCCTATGTTCAATACAAGCTAAAACCGTAGCATGTGTGTGGATCGGTCTTATCCCATCAAGAACCTCCAACTTGAATCAACATGTGTGGTTTCGTGCCAACCAAGGGGCTTCCCTCCCCCTAAAACTACACCCAAAGGCTCCCAACTGCTGCGGCCTTCAAGAAGGAGCGTTCTTTTCAGAGATTGGTGCGTCCCCAGAGGGGTGGACGCTTTTTAAACTGGGCCCCAGTGCCCTTCTCTCCCCCTTTTTGGGGGAGGGTTCCCCTACTAAAATAGACCGCAGAAAAAAGTTGGTAGCCTTATTCTAACCTGTCTACTGGAGGACCCTTTGTAGGTTTCCCAAGCGTTGCACCCATTGAGTGGAACGTCTCCCAGGCCACCTACAACATGTCGGGCATCGCAGTTACTGGGGCGCTCTCTGCCGTGCACCGGGTCATGCTGGAGGCCGACGGGGGTTGCCCCTGATTCCGGACCTGGTTGAAAAACTGGCACCAACAGTGCCGCAAGAAGGCGTGTTGGAAACTCAGTCAGCTCAAATCAAAATTTCAATTTCAAGGCACCTAAATGAATGAAATCAGGGAAATATTCAATCTCCACCCTTGGAACAATGACAGTGGTGGAAGGTGTGTTTGGATTTGATCCGCCAGTTTATCGAAGCTTAATTTGGATTCGCAGCCAGTGTAATTGTTGCCTCTCAGCTTTTTGTCTGGACATATGGAGGCTCTCCATATTTTGTTTTACACGCGCAGATGACCATGATCGAACAGGAAATCTGAAGCAAACCTTTTTACAGGAGTCTTCATGTAGAACTCTTTTTGAGAATCTACTTTGTTCACGGGATTGCTCCAAGGTGGGGGTCCGAATTTTGTTTGTATGCAGGATTCTTCTACTCAAAAGTGTCAGGGTTTGAGTAGCGGTGTCTTAAAGATGGACCCCAAATGGTGCGGCTTTTTGCCTCCCTGTAACGCCATCCAAGCAGGGTACCCAAGAAAGCAGTTTTTGTTTGGTCTTGCGGATTCTTTTTGGGGTTGTTAAAAAGTGGGGAAGTTCTCTATTGGAAGACGCGCCAACGGCATGCCAACATCCCGGTCACTTTCCGACGCGGATCGAGCGAGGCACTCCGAACCTTGATCGTTTGGATCTTCGGGCTGCGCCTCGGTGGAACAAGCCCATGGAACTCGTCTCAAAGGATACATTTCTTGGTGGCTCCCAGTCCGGTTCCTTAGCTTTTTAGATCCTTTTAGTGTTTAGTTGTAGCTTCCATTTAACTAAAGTCAAACTTTGAGTGGGGGATCTGAGGGCAGCCCAGATTTGGGCGTGTCTGCTTCTCGGGGATCCAAACAGGTTGTTTCTTTAAAGCCCCGAATTTGGGCCCCAGCAGCAACCCAAAATATATGTCAAAGCTTGTTTCATATCAGCTGCAAAACATGAAACCAATCCGTCAGAGTCCGCCGGAGTGCCTATCTTTGACCCTAAGCCATGCTTTCGGTTTCAACTGGCTGGGTGGAACCCACCATGTCCCCCGGTTAGCTCTTGGCAACGAGCATGTGCATCAACCAGTTCAAGGAGAGCCAAGGCCAAGTTTCCGGGTCACCGACCAGGGGGTTACCAGGATGGTCAGTGGGCAGTGGCGGACAAATGCTGGCTGCCGTGGACAGGTGCAACTGAAACAACGGGTAGTCTATTCACAGAAGGAGTTGTCATGCCTTTGGTAAAGACATTTGGTGGAAGAATGTCCATGGGCTTTGCCAGGAATCATCCGCATTCTAGAGCTTTTCGCCCGCCAGAACTCAGCTACTTTTGGTGATGGGTTAAAACAAGTTGGACGCTTCTTTGGATCCCTTGGTTGAAAGCTAATCCGATGGGTCCTTTTGATACATTGCCTCAAGCAAAAGGAGCTTGGAATCGGATGCGGCGAAGGGCCATGGTCGCTTGGAAAGAAATGACCGCTTCTGTGTGCAAGAGTCATGGTGTAGAGATGCTGATTTTTGTTGCATGCACGATTCTTCGCGGGAGTGTGACGGGAACATGTTTGGCAAGACCAGGTCAGGCAGAGATGGCAATCGAAACCTGTCCTGCAAGTTGTCAACATGTGTTTATCGGTTTCGATCAGATGTGCATGTCATCGTTTCTTGTTCTTAAGAGGAAACTCCTGCATCCTTGCTTGAGTCGACCAGCAAGGACTTTCCGAGTTCAGTCATGAACAGCGTTCCTCTTTTGTACCGCCCAAGTCACAAGTCATATCTTGAGAGGTTGAGTTTCGGCTCAAATGGCAGCCAAGGTCTGTGCATTACCTCGTTGACCCCAAGTCTCTCATCGGGGAGGTGTGGACGCGGGAGGCCTAGATCCATTTCGTGTAGTGGAAGTGGGGGTCGCAAAGACCATGTGGGCAATGTGAGCGCCAGGGGCAAACTTGCCCCGATCAGGTGCAGGGCAAACCTTTGTTGACAATGTGTAGAGTGTATGCCGTTTTGTTGAATGCTGACTCGAGTCGCTTTGAACTGACAAGAGCTTTGCAATGATCTACCAGGTCCCCCAGCACTGCCCTTTCTCACCCTTTTTGGGGGAGGGTTCCCCTACTAGAATAGACTACAGCAAAAAGAGAAACGGGTACCAACTTATTCTAAGCTCTCAAAGCTGGAGGACCTAGTCTAAAGCCCACCAGATTCGGGTGTCAAAGAGTTCCACATGAAGCCCTGAAACGGCATGGCTCATGCCCTGCGGTGACTGAGGGCTTGGAGCTGGCTGGAGGCCGGAGAGCGACTTGCGTCCAGCTCTTTGGGGAAACCGGTTGATTCAGAAGACAAAGCTAGAAGGAAACCAACGAAATGGTGGTGCGCTTAAGAAGCCAAGAACCCCTCCCAGCCCTTCTACTTCTTCTACTAGTAGTAGTAGTAGTAGTAGCAGTAGTAGCAGTAGTAGTAGCAAGTGGGAGGAGGAGCGGCAGTCGTAGTAGTAGCAGCAGCAGTAGTATTAATATTTAGGGATATTGCTAATAATGACTGTGTGTACTGTTTGATGGTTTCACCCATTGGGGGGAAGAGTTGAAGTTGCCATGGGCCGTTCATTGGTGGCTCGGGTCAGAGGGCTAAGGGTCAGTTCTCACCCCGAAAGTACAAGACTGGGTGGGCGCAAGCCAACTTGCACGTGATACGAATGATGTGCCATGGAGCTGTGTAATGGCCCCAACATATCTTCTAAGGAGGTCGCACAACAAACCTTTTGACAGCCTGGGGGTTGCGACTGTGTAATGATGAAACCCTTTCTGCCACCCTTAAGGCCGGAAAAAACGATGTGGCTGTGGGTCAAAGCCAATGGCACCATTTTGGGGTAGGTGAATTCACCACCCATTTTAGAACCTCCTTAAGTGGGGATTGGGATGTTCACTGGGGGTACGATTTGGCTTTTGACCCATGGCCATGTAGCGCAGGTCGTGGGATTCGTACTGCTGGTGCTGGGCCAGATGATCTACGGCGAGATGCTGAAGGCCGGCGACTTGCTTTTGGGCGGGTTTCAGGCATAGTTTGGAAAACAGGCTTGGGTATGGTATGTCCCGAAATTTGGGAACACAGGCTTGGGTACGCCCCCAAATTTGCTGTTGTTTTGGAAAACAGGCTTGGGCATGTCCCAAAATTGGCTTTCCCTATATTGGTAGGCGTCCAATCGTTTGGTTTCCCCTCAAATTAACCATGGAACGGTCCACCGTTTTGAAACATATACCGGGTTGGCAGTGAACTGAAAGGATTGGTGTTCATTGAGATTTCGTCTCTCTGTTTTTCTTCGGTAAGTTGGCAGGATAGCGGTTGCGAGCTTAATGTTGGACCCTCAAGAATGGGCATTGAATCAGATGCCGACTGAAGGGCACATTCCCAATTCAAATTCATCCCCCTTTTGTAGGTGACTCTTTCATTTTCTGGGACCCCTTCATGGGCAACAGACAGAGGGGTTTCAAAAGGGGCCTCGGTGCTTGTCAGCTTGCCTTCACAGGTTGGGCCTCTCAGCGGCTCGGTTTGTTCGGCCCATGGCATGCCACTGCGCCTGACCCTGCCACGGCTCACATGTAGCAAACTCTATGCCAGTCGCTCGCGTTTGGGCCAAATCATGATCCTCCGTTGTTTCACTGGCACCCTGTCCCCCTTTCCCCAGGCTCCCTGGCCATGAGCAACCTTTAGGGTCGAAACTATGGGCTCCTCCCAAAACAAGCAACACCCCCCAACCCCAAAAGCCAAGCTTCAAAACCCAAGACCATCAACACCCCCAAGCCTCCCAACCCAACCAACCCAACGCGTGTGCAAGCGGACCGGGGTCTGGACAGTTGGCCAGGTGCCGGGCCTGTACTACCCGCCGCACGAGGACTGCCATCATGCTGAAAGAGGAGGCATAGCTTCCCCAGAATTAGCTCCCCTTTTTCCTGCTTTTTTGGGGTCCCCTTTGTTTTCCACTAACCAGGCAAATATATATATATATATATATATTTGCTGGGGTCCTAATTCCAGCCTAGGTAGCAGGTAAGCATCGCTGGAAACCCTTATGAAAGGAGTTAATTGTGGGTCTCTCCTAAGGAGGCCTTGCCCGCCGCGCAGTTTTTGTGTTGCAGATTTCGGCTACCGGTTCGGGCTCGTGAGGGAGAGCTGTGCTGATCATTGTGGACAACGCCAAGCCTCGTTTGAGCTCATATTGACACCCAAATTCTGCCGCTTTCCGCGAAAGCTCAACGAAGGCTACAAGTGTCCCGCAAAGGATTCCCCACAACGTGTGACTTTTGAGCTGCGCTGCCAGAGTGTACTTCGCGTACTACACCTAGGTCCCCCAGAAGTGCCCTTTTCTCCCCTTTTTTTGGGGAGGGTGCCCTACTAAAATAAACTACAGAAAACATCGGGTACCCTTATTCTAACCTCTCTACTGGAGGACCTAGACACTTGTACCTAAAAGTCGTTTGGGAAGTCGTGGCCAACAACCAGAACCAGAACCCGCTGAGACAGGCGATCCTTAAAACACTCTTGCTGCGAAAGTGAAACGCGTGGCCGCGACTGCATCGCCAAAGGTTCCGCAGTTTTTTTGCACTCTTTTTTGAGCACAGCATGCTTTACCGCCCACTCCTCCGAGCCAATCGCAGGTCAAGGTGATTACGGTCAGGTAGCTCGTGCCTTCTCCACGTTCTCAAGTGGGTGCGGGTGCGCGCGACATTTGTCAACAACATCACACCAGCCACAACATCTTTGCCCACAACGGGCAGCTTCCTTATGTACCTGTCTTCCATCGTGACTAAGTCTCACACATGATGTCAGACAGACAGCCCTAGGCCCTAGGAGTCAAAATCAAAGCTAAAGAGCGCTGCTCAATTGACGCTTGCTTCTACTCAAAGCCAGCCAATCTGTGGAGACATCGCCGCATTGCCTTTGTTTCCAATTTAAATCCGGCCAGCATGGTGGGCGCCACTTGTTCCGTTCAGGTTGCCTTGCTTCCTGGAGGTTGCCATTGTTTCCCTTTCATTTCAGCCAACTAGGTGGTTGGAACATGTTGCTTGGGTTCACCTGCAAAATGTCAGGTCTTACTGAAGAACAAGTTCTCTTTCGCTTGGACAGCGGTTGGGTTTTGTACGTTCGGGTTCCTCCCCTCCGAAGGAGATGGACGAATCAGCTTTAGCTTCACCCGGCGGCGTGAAGAACCTCTACTCCCCGCCGCTTGGAAATGGTTCAGCCCCTCTGTGGCCGAGTGGCGCCCGATTTGTTTTAGGGTCGCCGAACATTCACCGGCATGTTCCAAGAGAAGAGAAGGGTGATTTCCAAGCGGCGCCCTTGTCCGTCGATTTTGGGAACTGGAAGCGCTGCCACTCGCGGCCACGCGTCAATAGACGTGGGACAGATGTTCAGGCAGTTTTGCGCGGAAGGTGTTAGCATGCGGACTATATGTGTAACTGGCTTTGCTTTGGTAGTTGTTGCATAAGACATCAAGGTCTTTGAGCTTGGTAAGGTGGGTAGCTAAGACCCAGCTCAGCCACGCACATTTGCGCTAAAGGAAGAGCAACATTTAGCACAACAGCTAAACTTGGCCCAATGCTGACAACCAACTACTTCACGTGCAGTTTGTTTTCTTTGGTCTCCAAGCTGGACAGGTATACTATGTGTTGACTTAGCGTTTTTGCATACATTGCCAGATATTCGAGTTCAAAGGGGGCAACTTACTTCGTCCCTCCCGCTGGTCCCGCTGTAGCTATCACCAACATGCAACCTCAGGGGAAGCTAGCTGGTAGAGCATTTGTAGACCAGTTTCCCCTTAAAAGGACCTTTCCTCCAAGACTATGTCATATTTAGGGGGTACATAGGAAACAGAATTGGGGGAAAAAACAAACAAACAAACAAAAAACATGTTCTGTGGATGTCAGGTGCGGGCCAAACTTCAGCTTCCTTGCTAGGTTGACAAAGGTGTTTCTTCGGCCCTTGGCACCTTGCGTCGCCGAGGGTGCTACGGATGAGCCCCAGTCGTTCACCGTCGACGTAGGTTGGCGATTGAGCAGGTCGAGCCGAAAAATCGGGCTGCAGATCTTGGGAGAACACAACGCGTGTCTTTTTCCTTAGGGACCCCCCCCAAAACCCGAAAGTGGGGTGTTCCTTTTGGTTTTTCACGAAAAAAACCCACCAACAAATAGGTACCCTTCGAAAAAGACAAACCCAATAAAACATGAGTTCCCTTGGTTATCAACTACTGGCTCGATGGAATGCCGCTCTGCCGATGACGTCTTTTGCCGCCTTCGGCCTGCCCTCGCTGATTGGAGCGTGTGCCAACTACCCCCTGAGTTATGAGATCATTGACCTCAGTGTGCAACAGTAGCAAGACATATTTAAGTAATTTTAGTTTTGGTATTCACTCTGTCAAGGTATTAGTTCAATTCCTTTATCTCATTATAGTTTAGGAGATGTTGGTCTCTTTTCAAAAAGGGAACTTGCAGACAGGGGTTCATGGCCGCATTCACCCCTTGATATGGCAGGGGCCATTCAAGTGGCACCCTTAAAGTTACCTTCCAAAAGGGATTTTAAATGACGTTTTGAAATCCACCCCTCGTCAAGAGTTTGCCCTGACCCTGGGCCGATCTGGGGCTTCAAATGCTGTCGTACTGACTCCTGCCTGCTTGCGGGAAATTCGTAAAGGGTATTACAGGCCACAACAGTTCCTAATTAAAAAGTATAGTATATATATATATATATATACCTGTATAAGGTGCACACTGACAAGCTGGTATGAGTTTATTACCCTTGGTTTCTGAGCCAGCACGCTGGAACTTAAGGAAATCCACCCGCTAGCCGTTTGTGCATTGTTTGACTTGGTATTGCTTTAGCCCGCGGCACGTGTTCATCTTTTATTGGAAAATCGACATGCCGTGAAGATTCATTGTGTTCCACTTCAGGGGGGTCTTTTTGCCGCCTTTTGTGGGAGAAATGATCGACCCCCTCGTAGTGACGGATTCCTTTTTGAGGGGGTCGCCAAATGTCTCAAAAGGTGGCAAAAAGACACCCCTGTTCCACTTGCTCTTTCACTGCGACTCTGCATGCCTTTCTGGAAACACTTTGCAGATTTTGACTCTAGCGCCATGGCCCACCGGCCCGTTTTCGTGTGCTTTGCTGATTCGCCACCAGCCAAGATCGCATGTTAGAAGCATGGGTTTTGTATGGTTTTCCAGAGACTTGTGCCTTTTTGCTGCCCGAGTACGGGCAGGTGTTTTCCTGCGACGCCATGGGATCTTTACGTAAGTGTGTCCTGGCGTTTTTGCTGTGCGGTTCCTTGAACACGATCGCGCGGAAGACTCTTGGCTCGCAACCGGAGAGCGCGGCCTGGGATTTGCTGAAGGGGTTGCAACTCCACGAATCAAAGAAAAACCTCAAGCTTGTTAGTCCTCCAGGAAATATGCTAGATTTCCGGGCTGGCTCAATTCCGAGCCGGAGGTTTTCTTGTTTGAGCCCCGGCTTTGGGCCAAGTGTTCCGGCCTAAGGTTTTCGCAGGTTTCTTTTAGGAGCTGCCCAAAGACAGTGGGAACCCGGGTGAATTGTCCGCGGATGTTTGATATTGGGCACGAGTGAGAGCCGTGTCACTGATGCTTTTACAGTGCCTGGAGTTCTTCACCCGATTGCGCCGTTGTGCCTTTCTGCCCGGGGCAATCGGCTTCCAAGTTGCAATAGTTTTTGTTGTGAGTCAGGGTCTGTTTTTGGTTGTCTTAAAGTTTAGGGAAAACACTTATGTCGGTTCCCGGTTCCTGTAGAAAGAGGACAAACCCATATAGCAACCGCCATGGATGCTCTTTGCCAAGACCTTGGTTCCTTAAACTTGGTATGCCCTTAGGAGTATAAGGAAACTTAGAGACTCTTTGGAGCTCTTGAAGTTCTTGGGTGGGTCATGAAGCTTTTGCTTCTCCCTTTCCGAGTTCCCCAAAGACCGCATGGAAGGGAATACTTTTCGTGGGTGCAGAGGTGAAAGCCCTCTCTTTTGGTCCCTGATGAAATTTCGAGCACGGGGCCTGTTCTTAAACCTGCCGACACCTTCACTCGACTCTGGCGGTTTTTCTGAGGATCGCTTATTCCATGTTTGGTACGGCGGATGATCATGCTGAACGCTTCCAGAAGCCCTGGTTCGCCACCTTTGTCATGCTGCTCGGGTTAAAGGGGAAGCTGTCGGAGGTGGAGATTTGAGCAGTCCACGGAAACACGTAAAACTCCGAGCTGAAGCAAGACATGTCCATGAAGGCATGCTGTTCATGGGCGAGTTGTAGACAAGCAAGCCAAGACGTCAACGGTTGAATGATGAACACTGCATGAGTCAGTGAGTCTCGGACAAAGTTGCTTGCTTGTCCAAGGGGACAAGAGAAATGGGATGAGGACCAAGGTGATTGCGTCGATGTCGTGAAGTGTCTAAAGTAGCTGACGTTTCTCTAGTTGCCAGTGTATCTAGCAATTGTGGGATGATCATGGTCCTGGAAAAAGTCATTGTTGTGGCTGTGACTGATCTTGGTGTTGCTAATCCGTTGCCGGTTGTGACAAGTTGTTCTTTTGAAGTTTCAGACGTGGGGACATTTGTGATGGCTGATTGTAACTGCTGTCAAGAGAGAAGGACCGGAGAAGGACCAATCCCAAGGGCTACCCTCCGCCGATGCTCACACACAGGGCTGTTGCGTGAAAGCAGTGCAATTCCCCCAGTTTGGTTCTGTGATATGCTCACGTGCTTTTGGCATCTGCTTTCACCTACGAGTATGAGACTTTTAACATGCGCTGGGCCACATTTGTTTGAACTTGCAAGAACGTGGAGCCCTTCTCAACCCTAGGTTCGTCGCCATGGCTAGCGTCCTGCCCTTTGACGCCGGCAACTTTGCTTGCAGGTGTGTGTGTGTGAGTGTTGTTTCGAGACGTACCCGGCCTGTTTGGCCCTCTGGAAGATCTGTTTTTTTCTGCTCAAAGCTGCGCCCAGCTGCCAGCGCAGACGGAAGGTCCTGCAGCCCGGGCGGTTGCCAAGCTTTGTGCCTCAACTGTCAGTCCTCATTGAGGCCGGGCGAGGGTTCGCTCAGTGCAGTGTGTACTCGTATCATGAAGTGTCTTCCTCTTAGCCAGCTGTTCCTTTATGTCTTTGTTCCGGTTTTTGTTTGATGGCCATGACTTCATGCAAACCACAGCGATAGTTTGACAGTCTGATTCTTTGTTGCTTGTGACATCCTAATTGCTTGGATTGCACGTTGCCTCCCCTTCTTATCTTGAAGGTTCTCCATCCGGCCATTTCTCCAAATCTGCAGGTCTGAACTCGCAGCCGATTCGGCTCGGATTCGCCCAACCGTCAGCCGCACTCAGCGCTCGCGGAGATATGCTGAGCCCAGCAAGAGGTGGGGGGTTGATCAAATGGTCCCCAACAACACGGGATGACGATTGGGGGAAACTGAAAATATGTTTGATATGGCTGTGGGTCAAAACCAATGGGATCCCATTTTGGGGTAGATGAATTCACCACCCATTTTCGTCTATTTGAGTCGGGATTGGGATGTTCACTGGGGGTACGATTTGGCTTTTAACCCATGGCCATATTTCAACATGGGGAAAGTTACCCAGGGGTTCAAAAGGTCCAATAACACGGGATGACAATCGGGGGAAACTGAAAATAATTTTGATATGTTTTGTTTTTTGTTTTAACCTTTGTTCATAGGACTTGGACGTGATTTTTGAATACCTTTCAACCCAGGGCAAAAAAAAATCATGGGAAAAACCGGTTTCCCATGGTTAAACCTGGGGGGTTGGACCACCCCGAGGTTGGAGGGGGGATGAGAGCCCTCGGCGGAAGCTGAGCCGCGGCTCTGCGATGTGCCTGGCCGTGCTGGGCCTTTGCCTGGCTTGTGCCTTGAATTTCCTCCGTTTGCTGCAGATTTTTTTTTATCCAGTGACTCATCGTGAAGCAAACAATAAAATATACATTCTATAACTGGGCCAAACTCTAATCATAAAGAATATTTGGTTGATTTTCCCTTGTTGGTTTTAAAAGGAATTCATCACTACTGGAAATGCTTTCTTTTTTGTCCTGGGCCCTTAAGCAAATGGAAGATTTGCTTCCTGGGACCTATGGGGCGGCTTCCTTTTTCGTTTTGGTTGGTTCTTTCATGGTTCATGTGTTCTTCTTGGAGGGGGTCCTTTTAAAATCAACCACCAGAGATGTTGTGCCCTTTTTTGTTGGTTCTTTCATGGTTGTGTTCTTCTTGGAAAGGGGGTGGGTCTTTAAAATCAGCTACCAGAGGTGTTGTTTCTTGTTGGTCCTTTCACGTTTGGAAGGCGGTGGGGGTCCCTTTCAAAAACAACTACCAGAGAAAAAGGAGGCTCGCTGTTTTTTTTCCATGGCCGCATGGGTGCTGGATCATGTTTTTTCAGTCTAAGGTGTGGCGAGGGCCATCCAATGGATCTGGAAGAAGGAGAGAATAACTTACCAGCACCTGATGCAAGTCTCGGAGGAGGAAGCGGGCATGCTGATCGGCCTCACCCAGGACGGCAAGGCCTGAAGCGAGTGCTCCTCTCTGTGTGTCTGTTGTGCGAACCAGCGGTTTTCTTTACGACCCGAAGAGGACATCTTGCAATATCTGGCACATTTAGTCGTGGCTGATGGTAGCCAAACCACGTCAAACCGCTTTTTGCAGGGAGTTAAAGACCAGCCCCCGTTTGTTCTCCATGAAACCAGATCAAACACCAGGCAGATTGACGGGTTGATGTCATAGGGGTGCTCCGCTCCTCTGAAACATACCAAGGGACATGTTGGCCCATTGGTTTTCCACTGGTTTCGCTTTGGTTTTCCTCTGGTTTCCCTTTGGTTTTTCTTTGGTTTTCCTTTGGTTTCCTTTTGGTTTCCCTTAGTTTCCCTTTTGTTTCCCTTTGCAGTGCCTAATTTTCCTTTAATTTTTCTTTGTCTTTTCTTTGGTTTGTCTTTGATTTCCCTTGGTCTTTCTTCGGTCTCTGTTTTCGTTTGGTTTCCCTTTGGTTTGTCTTTGGTTTGTCTTTGGTTTCCCTTTGGTTTTCCTTGGTTTCCCTTTGATTTCCCTTTGGTTTTTCTGTGGTTTTCCTTTGGTTGCCCTTAGTTTCCCTTTGGTTTCCCTTTGCTGTCCCTTGGTTTTCCTTGGATTTTTCATCGGTTTGTCTTTGATTTTCCTTGGTTTGTCTTTGGGCTGTCTTTGGTTTTCCATTAGTTTCCCTTTGGTTTCTCTTTGCTGTCCCTTGGTTTTCCTTGGTTTTTCCATCGGTTTGTCTTTGATTTTCCTTGGTTGTTTTTCTTAGGTTTGTCTTTGGTTTTCCTTTGGTTTCTCTTTGGTGTCCCTTTGGTTTGTCTTTGGTTTGTCTTTGTTTTTCCTTGGTTTCCCTTTCCAATGCCTAGCCCATGGATCACCGGGTCGGTCGTGCGCATCTCGGCAGGTCTTCTTCCACGCGGACGAGAACGAGACCGCCTTCGTCCAGCTGCGAGGGGAGCCCTGCGGAGGCGTCTGGGGCAAGCCCATCGACGTGGACGCCTCAAGCCGAGCCATTTGGGTGGTGTGCTCCAAGGACCGGCGAAAGAAGCAGCTGGAAGAGAGAGAGAAAAGACTCGTACACCCCTCAGTTCCCAAGTGAAGCATTTCATGGTTGTTGTTGGTTGAAACATTTTTCCCATTTTTGATCTTATTCTGGTTGAGTGGTGGAACTCCAAATCCACTGAACTGCTAAAATTTGAGAATCTTTGCTCCCCAAACCCAAGGTCAACCAAGAAGAATCAACTCAAATTGCAGTTGTTGCTGGTTTTCAACTTGTTGGTTTTCCTTACCAGTTTGGGGGTTTGGGGGTTTGGGGGTTTGGCGAACGAAGCAATTCATTGCAGGAAACCATCAGAAAGTGATGGTTGATAGGGGCATTCCATTTCTCATTCCCTGCTTAGCACCAGCGAGAAAAACTCATTGAAGGGTGGCTCTTCTTCTTGTTGGTGGTGCCCCTTTTTGTGGTCTTCAAGGGAAGCCAAGAGGAACATCACCAGCTTGGGGGCTAGCCCCAAAAAACAAACAGTCGCGAAAAAAAGGGTCGCTTTCCGGAGGATGAAGGTATTCTCTTTTCTGACGGAATCATTGTGTCATTCTCAAGAACTGGACAACTTGCTGGTGCGATAGGGAAGGAAATGAATCCAGGCCTGGTCCCCTTAAAGGAAACCACCAGTTGGATGGGGTATGGTCATTCCCTCACTTTTAGCTGAGCACCAGCAAGAAAAACACAGAGGGTGGTACCCCTTCTTGGTTTTCAAGGGACGGCAACAGGAACACCACCAGTTTAAGGTTCCAACCTTTAAAAACGACATGCCCCTTTGGCGCTTTGGATTGGTGTTGGCATTCGAACCCCTTCTTATACATGGGAAGCCTAGCGGAAGCTGTTGTTTCGGTTTGAGGGACCCGCGGGGTGCTAGCTTGGGACGGTTTTTGCTGCCCGAACCGGCTGCTCCCCCAACCACCTGAGAAGAGGATGTAAGGACAGAGCAAGCAAATGCATAGGCTCATTGTGGGTAAACAGGAGGAAACATGAGGCAACCAGTTTGAAACCCTTCCATTCATCTCGTTTCTAGTAGCTTCCCAGAAAGAGTTCAACTCTCCATTTTGAACAGCCTTACCGGTGTCCAGAGAGGGGAGGCTTAAATGCAACCTGTTGCTTGGACGGTTTAACCTGGCAGATTTTGGGGGGTTCCGACTGTTTTGGGAGTTGACTTGTCTTGGGCTTGCCCTTTATGAAACAAATGACACCACACCTCCCCCCAGAGGGCGGGGCTCCTGGTTTGCCAGTGGTTCATTGATTCGTATTGAGGCGGGTGAGATGTGTCCGCGTTTTTGTTTTGTTTTGGTTCCGGTGATTTTCTGGCCCCCCCCCAAATGTGGGTCGGTGGGTAGTTTTTGCTCCGGGTTCCGGGAGCCCGGGGTCTGAAAGCTGAAAGAAGATTGCTCGGTTGGGGTGAGATGTTTGGTGGCTGAAACATTCACCGAAAGCTGGCGACGCTGAGGGAGGTTACAAAGCAGACAAAAAGGAGCAGCCAGCTGTCGAACTTGGCGATTTTCAGCACCATCTGTTGGATGCCAAATGGCATCTGTTGTAAATGTGGTATGTTCACTCATTTGGTCCACAAGGGCGAAGCTTTTGTTTGGGCTTCCGTTGACATGTTGAACAAGATGGCTCTGAAGGGCATGCGGGAGTACGCTTATTCCCCCTTCCAGGAATACACCACGCAGCATGGCCTCGAAATGGAGCACTTCCTCTTTGCCAAGTGGGGCTGGTCACCCAGCAACAACCATGTCTCCCGGCCAGACTGAGTCAGGTTGCCCAAAAAGTTGGTCGTTTGGATGGGTGGCTTGGGGATTTCAACAGCATTTTTACAAGCCAAGTCTTCCTCAGAATTAGCTCCCCTTGTCGCTTTTTTGCTTTTTTGTGGTCCCTTTTGTTTTCCACTAACCAAGCAAAACAGATTTTTTTTTGCTGGGGTCCTAGTTCCAGCCAAGAAATGGGGAAGGTAGCCCTGAACCTCCGAACCATCTCCAAACCAAAGAAAGGGAAGCTGAAATGAGGTTTTGGCTGGCTCAAATTGGGTCCGGATCAAGCCTCGTCCAAGGGTTCTTCAATTTGGTGTTTCAAACTAGGGGGGCCCAAAGATGGTTGCTTCCCTTGTTGGTTTCCCTTTAAACTAAGAAGAAAAGGGTAGATTTGGAGCAACCTGGGTCTCAGGGAAATACTTCATGTTGTTTTGTCTAGGGTCGACATCATACCCCGCAAAAAGAGCGAATTCTGTGTATGGGGGATACCTAAATCACACATATAGCGCCCGCGCAGAATTCGAGGTTTGGTGGCACATGATGCGGGGCGGCAACGTGGTGCAGCTGGACGCAGATGACGACGCCATGTGGGGCATCGATGGCAGTGGCACCATCCTATGGCGGCCAAGTGGTGATGTGGGCAAGCACAGCCGCTGGATGCGGGTGGATGGCCCAGCGCATCATTTGCATCCCAAGGCGACCGCTTGGAT